AAGTCAGGAGTGTTGTGGAATGCAGATTTTCACTTTTTTTTTTTTTTTTTTTTGGTAAAGAGAAGAAAATTCTGTATTTTTCTTTTTAACAAGTTGGTTCCTCCTTAAATTAGGAGGAAATAGAGAATGTGAAAAGAATTTAGTAAGGCTCTGTGAAAGTTATTGTACATTAAACTTGCTATAAAGTTAATGCAGGATTCCAAGCTATTCTGTGCATTGATGACTGTCAGGGAAGATTTGAGAGAGGATTAGTGTCATCATAACCTCCTGAAAGCATTTGATATGATGATGCTATGAGTGCTGGAATATGTCATACAGCAGTCGAATCTGAATTTGATGTACCGTGTAGATAATCATGTCTCTTCTCTAACAGTCTTGTAGTACTGTTCATATGGTGTACCCAGCAAAAGGTATAATGGCATTGGTGGTGTATTGGTGGTGTGGCATTTTTGAGGATAGGGCTAAAAGTTGACTCTAAATTTCTTTTAAAAAAAAGAAAAATATCAGATTTAGAGAACCTTTCCCTCCTGCCCTTGTAAGTGTTGTTGTCTTTCTGTTTGTTTCTTTCTTTCTGTTAGGGGTGCAATATCTCTATCCAAAAGCAAAAAGATTGGTTCTGCTTATATTAAATTTCTCTTAACCCAGCAAATCTGTGTAGGTGTGCTTCATGCTTTAATTTTAAGCCCACTGTCAGTGTCCCAAATACAATAATTTGTGTCAAGAACTGGACATTATTTAAAGCATAATCGTGGTAGAGAATGTGTTGCTGTTGACCTAACATCACTTGAGAGGTGTGACAATGCAAAAGATTCACGCTGTGCCTATCTGGATGTGTGAAACAGCAGTGGCTACCAAAAATACACACTGAAGGACGTGGGAACTAAATTGGAGAAAGGAAATCAGTTAAAAGATGATGAAACTTGGTAAAGTGCTCAAGTGTGGCAGAAGCTGAAACTGTCCTTATTGGCTGAGCATCTCAGTGGGATGGCAGCCACAGAAAATACGAAGTTGTAGAACATTAAGACACAAAGATGGGATTTCAAAAATTTTCCTTGATAGTGTCTCAGATATGTAAATTAAGATGGGGCAGACAGGCCTAGAAAATCAAAAGCGGTAAAGTGATCCTCCCACCATCCAGCATTAAGTAGTCTGAGCCTGGGATTTTCCGTCCAAAATCTCTGCATACCACCATGCAGTTCTGCTCAAACTCTTAAACCTTTTATTAAATAACAGGGAGAAAAAAAATAGAGAGAGAAGCATTTGAAATGTGAAGTATTAAGTATAGCTTCCATTTTACCTCTTAACTCTCATTTTCTTTTCCTTCAACTTTAGGGAGTTCTTACAAAGAAAAATCATGTTAAGCATTTCTTTAGATCAACATTAAAGATAACTCTTTTTTTTTGAAAAAAAAAAAAAAAGTTGCTTAATACAGGTTTTAGCTGCTGCTGCTGGAACTTAAGCCTCATTCCTTGAAAACAAATGCGTGGGGGTGGAGAGGGGCGGGACCTCAAAAAAAAAAAAAGGGAAGATGTAAATTGCATCTCTTGTGCTGACTTGTACCAGCTGAGAATGATTGATACAAAATACACTTTTAAAACCGAATCCAAGATTTGGCATATTTCTACTAGCATTAGACTGTAGTACAGTTTTAGCTGTGGCCTTAGCCTACTATCAAAAGAGAAACCATTCACTGAGAATGGTTAAGCAGAGAAAAAGAAATAGAAAATATGAAAGAAAATACAGAAAGAGGAGTATGGAAATATTGAGCTAATGGAAGAATGTAAATCTTCTGTTACTTTGAAATCAAATGTACTTTTAGGTTGCAGTTTAGTAATTAGCAAACATACTTCAAGGCTTGTAATTTATTTTGTATTATTCGGAAGTAGGCCAATGGAAAAAACCTGCAGTGAGGTACAAAGATAATGGCATCTAAAATCTTTTCCACTGAATGCACTATAATATCTTTCTGCTTCTGAAGTTGCATTTGTTTGATAACATATATTCACATTTGCGTCAGTAACAGCAGGGGTGGCTTATATGTGGACCCCACATAGAGATCCATGTTGGATTGGTAGGAATCCATTTTTCATCAGAGACTTGCAAGCCCGAGATTAATTAAAATATGCATTCACTGCTGTTAAATAAAATTTGCTTAGATAAGATTTTTAAAATAATGTAAAAATGATTACTCCTGATGTCCTTTTTCAAGGTATTATCCAGGAAACAATTAAATTACTAGGAACTTAATCAATGAGAGCCATTTCTTTTTATCTTTTAACAGCAAAAAATTAGCCGCTGGGCTTGTCAGAACTACGTTTTTCATTGACAAGGAATTCGGAATACAAGGTTCTGAGTCTTCTGAACTCCTTTCTTCTTTTTTTTCCAACCGTACTGATCTTAGCGTTATAAAAACTTCATATGTGTCATGAAAATGCAAGTGAGGGAGAGCAGCCACGTTGGCATTTTTGGTGAGGGAGACCAAACCATGATCGTATCCTTTGTTTGTGTGTGCAATGAATATACACTGGTCAAAATTTAGAAATAAGCCCATGGGAAAATAAATTCTGTCAGTTGTTGATGTTATTTAACAAATTTCCAGTATAAATCCAGGAAACTCCAAAGACAGAGTGCAGTGACTAAAACATGCTGCAGTTTAAATGGAAGGAGATACCTGGCTGATTGGAAAGGAGTTCATCTGTGGATAGCTGTGTGAGCAAGCACGTAGTATTCTAAAGTGCACTATGTAGGTGCTGATTTGATTTGGATGTCCCTGGGGATGAATGGTGCTGAAAAGTTTGATTTATCAGTAATTCTATGGGCTGGGCATACAAGTCATGTCTGAGCTGCTGAAGGAGATGGTTTTACCCTTCCACAAAGTCTGCTGTAGCTACATCTGTTACTTTTACTGTATAATCCCTTTTACCCGCTTTTTTTCTTTTTCCCGAGAAGGTGATAAAGATGCATAGTATCCAGAGGATTTTATAATTTAGCGTTTAAATACTTTTACTAAGTAAAAGGTGCTCAAATAAAGGAAGTTCCATTTCACATTCGTGATCTACTTCCTATTAAGTGAGCAATGACTATGGGAGTAATCAATTAAGGTTGGTTGGCAATAGCTTCAATGTATTGACAGCTTTTGGAACAGCATTTGGAATTCAGCCTTTTAGCTCCTTTATAACTTTTGTGCTGTCTTGTGATGGTGCATCGCTTTTGAGCAATTAACCGTAAGCAGAATAAGTTGTTAAGAATGTATTCCTTTGTTTTTCACTGAAAGTATAGCAAAGTTTTACATGATTAAAATTAACTTTTGAGAAGAGGCTTTTCCAGCTTAAAGTGCCTGAGTAATAATTCCGTAAATGTAGAGGGGAAAACATGAATGGATTTAGGAAAACATAATTGATTATATAGTAGCAGCATTTATGTGAACATTTACTGTAGAGTGTCGAGATCATAGCAAAATTACAAAATTTAGCACTCTGTGGTAACTGTAGGTGTTTTTTAGAAATGTTGTTACAAGCCATATTATGCAAGAGAGGAAAACTTCACTCATCACTATATGCTGCATAGAAATTTCTGATATGTGTTTCTTGCGGACAGTTTGAATCTCTAGTACCTCTTTAGTAAGAATTACTCCTTCAGCTGCAACTGGCTACTTAACAAGTTCTGAAGGCTGGATAAATGACAGAATTCCTGGCATGGATGTATTCTGTCAATAGTATCTTACGTTTAATTGTGGTTCTAGTCTGGCTGTTACATTGCCTTTTTCCATATTTGTCTTAGGCTGGGGCTGAGACGTTAAGAGTGCGTATGGTACGGGACACTGTCACAGAAGTATTCATTTTGTGGTATTCCTTATCAGTAGAATAGGAACATTAAAACTCAATCCCTCTGATAGAAATTCAATATTAGGATTATAAAGTTGAAAATAAACTTTTATTATATGCAAGTCATCACTTAGTGTCATATCTGTTCCCAAGCAGGAGTCCACAAATTAAATCTTCTGTCTTAGTTGTAATTAAAACTTTAGTGAAAGCATAATATGATGATCAAGGTAGGTTCAGAGTCGCTTTGTATTAAAGACGTTAAATGTAGCGTGACTATTAGCGGGTAATTATTTAAGTATGATGTGGGAACTTACTGACACGGTTACCAGAGGGAGGTCATTAACTTTTGTAACGCTTGGTTAGAAAAGAGGGAGGACTGCCTAAACAAGATAGTCATTTGTACAACCATGGGAAGGAAAAGCAGAAAGAAAGCTCAAGAACTGGGAGCATGAAGGCTAGTTTTGAGGTGAGAATCAGTCAGGCAGCCAGAGTGGCAGTGAGCAGACCACTGTGGAGAGATTTACTTGAGCCACAGGCAGTGGAGTGATGATGATGTTTCTGTGATTCTACTCTGGTTCATTCAAATTTCAGGAGGTTTTAGGTGCCTGTTTTTTTTGCTTCTAGAATATTCTTGTGGATATTTGTATCCACAACATAATTGTAGTATTAACTGCCTTTGTGCAAATGGTTTCAAAGCTTTCTTTTTGTTCACTTTTGTAAAAAGCAAGAGTTCAAATTATATTAGACATTTTACCAAACATCTGCGATAATACTTTATTTAATTAGACATTTGAAATTAATGGAGTTTTGCCATTGCTTTTGCCATTGCTCAGGATTTCATCTTGTATATAAAAGATGTGTTGCTAATAAATTTCTGTATTGTGCATTGAAACGGTAGACTTTAATGGCTATTCTCAAACTGCTATTATTTAAGGTGTGGAGGAGAGTCCCTAATGACACATGCATAGTTCTTAACTACAGAAAGTAAACTGAATGATGTGTTAGTGAAATGTTCTTCGAAGAAGCTTGTAATTGAAGTAGTCATATTTATGTTTTTTAATACAGCTTATAGGAAATATGTTTAGGATGAAGTATTAAAATCCATGAAAAAATTCCTTTAGTTACGAAGTAAAATATGGGTGAGGAAATCTCACTTTTCCTTTTTTGATTTTATAGCTTGCACGTGCAGTGGACATGCAAACATTTGTCACATGCAAACAGGAAAATGTTTCTGCACAACTAAGGGAATCAAAGGAGACCAGTGTCAACTGTGAGTACAACTAAATGTAGCCCAAAGTTATTGCAGTTCATGCCTAGTGTATAATTACTTTTGTCCTGGTTTTGTTTTACTTTTGGATTTTGGGGTTGTCCTGACAATGTTTTAGTGGTGACTCTACTGTTCCTTACATTTCTTAGGAAATTTCAATATTACTTAGCCTTTTGTTAAAGAATTACATCACAAATATTAGTAATATTTTTCAGACACTATAGATTTAAAAAATATCCTCTAAAAAGAAGTAACAAGAATTACCTGTAGTTGTCTTCCTTTTTTTAATTTTTAAAAATTATTTTATGTAAAAAAATATATGTGAAGTGCTAATTATATACATTACATTTGTCACGTATCTTGATCAGAATCTACACTGATTAGGTTTTTAGAATTTTGGAAACATACTAATGTGCACAGTGTTTTAGACATTTTCCCATATTATTAAGTATAGAACAGAGGAATGTGTAGACTTGTCATGGCAAGAACATTTAGTGTTATCTCCTTTTATATTGGAGTAGCTTATTGTGTTTGTTTAGAGGAAGAGCTTGCAACTTAAGATAGAGCATAACAAATGGGAGGACTAAGAACTAAGAACTGGAGTAACTTGTCAAGTAGGAGAAATAACACACTAAAGTTAACCATGAGTAGCTTTATATTTAAAGATGTTTCTTTCAGTTCATTCTATCCTGTACACTGCATTATCCATCAGGAACCTTATTACTTTCACAATTATAGTTATTTTAAATAGTATCTGGCCCCAGAATTTTCTTAACAATGTTGTCTGGAACTGGGGAAGAGGCATAAACACAGCTGATTCCTCTCCAGCAGGGAGAGGCGCCAGAAGGTTATGCTCTGCCTGCCACGAGGCATATTCTTTCACTGGATTTGTGGATTCATCTTTGATACACTTAATGAACTGGCTTGAATCCTGCCCTTAATACTTTGCTTGATAAATAGTCAAGAAGCAAAAATAGCTAATGCAGAGGCTATGTGTGTATTCGTGAGAAAGAGCTGTGCTGGCAGGTACACTGTTGCAGTGGTACGTCTGGGTACCTCTGGGACTTTTTGTCTAGCTAATTGGAGACTCTCAGGATGAGATGAGAAACTGAAATTAGGACTAAATGATGAATTTTTATCATGACAAAAGCTGAAGAGCGATATCATCTTTGAACTCTGAATTAGATCTTCATGGAGAAATTGATTTTCTTCCTCCTTTTGTGTCCAAACACTAAGTCAGTTCTAGATGTTAATGATTGGTTTGATTACCAGTGTGCTACAGATATATGTTGATGCCGTTCTACCTATTTACAAATGGGGGCGGGGGGGATGGGAAATCTACTCCTCTGTGCATCGTAAACTCGAACTACCGGAAACAGTTTCTTTGCCCATAACTCCAATCTTCTACCAACTACCATTCAGCCTAAGGCACTCTTTATAGTCCTTTCCCCCAGTCTGTATTTCACACACCTGTTTTGCTCTTGCTTTCCCTTTGTCTTGTGTCCGTTTCAGCATTGTTTTCTCTGCTCTGAATTGGAACTTTCATAAGGCCAGTTGTGCTGCTCAGCTGTGTCAGTCTGCTGTCCTGAGTTTGTCTGTCATAAAAGGTTCTTTAATCCTGTTTACTGAACAAGAAGAGAAAAGGTTGTCCTAGTGGTGGATTTTTCTGTCCCATTCAAGAATACAGTAATTTCACAAAATGGAGGAAACAGAGATTTGAATTTTGACTTTTCAAGAGTAAACTTAAAATTGCAATTTCAGACTGAAAATCCCTGGTTTTGTCACATGTAATACATTTGCCTTCCTAGATTTTTAGGTAGATCAAAGTCTTACCCAGGGCAAGCTGTGGTGTTAAAGCATTTGGTATTCCAAATAGTTTCTTTTTGATGAAACAAACAGCCATTTTCAAATTGTTTTTGGCTGTGATCACATTTCAGTTTGTGAGCGTCACATCTGTTGGGTTCATAGACAAACATTCACATATAATTTGATTTTCTGCTCTTAAGTCCTTTTCTAACTCTGCTCTTAAAAAAAAAAAAAAAATTAGAAAAGACTATGTAGACTACGTAGTTTATGACAGCACATGTAGAAGGAGACCAGTTTGAATGTATTGGGAGACTATCTAGGATAAAATTTCAGTGCTGGAGACTCTTTGTTAAGATCACTGGATGTCCTGAAGAAAGCTGATAACCACAGATTTCGAGTTTTAGTGCATGCCATCAGACAATACGCTTAGGATTTGTTGTTGTACTCTGATGCTTTGTTTGGGAGGGTGATCCATTCATGCATGGAAGTTTCAGTCAAATATTGTTTTTTAATTATTTCCCTTAGAACACCAGGAGATGAAGAATATAAAAAACAGGTCACTTGTGAATCACTGAATCCAGTCCCGTACTGCCATCTAATTTCTAAACTTCATATGAAGAATGTGAACTTGATCAGATCCATACTATGTTTGAAAAAATAGCTATTTCCTTTGTGAAAATTATTCTTACACTCAAAACTTGTTTTGAAAATATGGTATTATATTGCCAAGATACATATACAGTAATCATCTAGAAGATAAGGATTATTTTAAATTCACTAAATGCTTTACTTGTCTTTATTACTTTATTATGTTACATACAAATCATCTGGAACTTGATTCAAAGTGTGAATACTGTTTTCGATAGCTATGGATAAAAAATTTTTTTGCCACTTATTCAACAGGCTGTTGTGCAATCTCAGCAGCAAACATATAACCCTGTGATTTCTGAAATAAGGATTTCTGAGAAAATTCCGAACTCTAGCTGTTTGGTGTGCAAGGTAGATTTATATTCCTGTCAAGAATCCTATTGATTAGAAAATCATTGCTGCAGGGTTGTATGTTATCTCTCTCTCTTCCCCTCCCTCCATCTATTCCTCCTTCCCTCTGATACTTTTATATCTGCTTGTCACGTGAAGTACACACCGTGCCTTGGGGGCAGAGTTTTTAAGGAATCAAAGAAACTTTACAACACTTTTTTTTTTTTCTTTTTCCTTTTTCCTCCTTAGCCTAAGAACAGCAAGTTGTTTGTTTGGGTTTCTTTTTGTGGGTTTTTTGGTGTTTTTTTTTTTTTTTTTAATGGATGATATAATTTTTTTTCTCATTTTTTATTTTTTTAAATATTTTTTTTAAGTATACCCATTTCAGTTATATTACTTTCTGAATTGTGCTGTTGGATAGCGTGAAGCACAGCAGGATTTTATATCAAAATTACTGTTCTAAAGCAGCTTTGAGCATTCATTTCCATTCTGTTTTACAATGTTTATTTAATGACACATGATAACATTTTTTCCAAAAAGAAATATTTTTGTTTCCTTTAGGTAGCTTCAGCCGGTAAAAGCCTCTAATACTCTTTTAATCAGGAGGAACTGATTGGAATGGTTCAATTATTCAGAGTAACTAGACTGTAAAACGATAAAACCAGATACAAATAAAAATACTTAGGGGTTTTTTTCCTTTAATAATGAAATGTGCCATTGACAGTAATCACAGGAAAATAATAAAATTTAATCCTATTAATAGGAAAATAATAATAATCCTAGTAATAGGATTAATAGGAAATAACATACTTTTAGTGAAAACTATTCCTTTAATGTAATTTTATTTAATTTTCTGCAATATTTGATTTGCTAGCTGCTCATTTTATTCCCTCATAGAATTTTGTCTACAGAGATTTCAAGATTTCCATAGGTTTCAGTGTATCCATATGCAGGTTTATATACACAGATAACTTTCAGGAATAGGCCTATGGAAGTGGAAGGCATATGCTAAGGGGATGTTTCAAAGTTCAAATTCTGATATTAAATGAGAGAACTTTTACTGGGTGCAAGGAAGAAAAATATGAACATTATAGAACTGAGTAGTTAAGTCAGTCTTCGAGAAGTTTCAATATGTCTAGGCTGTTCCAAGAGACAGCCTTCACCTGGAGATGTGTCTGTAGCTTTTGTCATCCCTTGTAAATCTGTGTGGAAAGGTGACAGGGTTACAAATGCTTGGTGGAAATAAGGTTTCATAGCAGATTTTTCAAATTGTCACATTTTACTGGATGTACTGTAACATTTATTGCACTGCACTTCCCAGTTACAGCCATTGCTGTGGTTTTGGGGGAGGGAAATCAATCCCGCTTGTTAAGGACTTTCCACTGTGGCAGGTATTAGGCTGTTGGACCTGTCCTGTTGGTACTGAGACTGTGTCTTTGAATGATGGGCAGGTTAGATATCATTTTAGTGTATCTATATTCCCAGGCATTAATCAGAATAATAATTATTTTACCTAAATGGGAAACATGAAAATATTTGGAATGTTTGCTGTGGTGCATTAAAGAAAAAACAAGTACCAAAAAACCATATAAGAACTCAGCAAAACCTGGGTTTCAAGAATTCTGTAATGAAGAACTGCTAGGTGGAAATAAAGTATTGGGGGGAAAAAAAATCCTTATTTTTGCTATCATATTTTCGTAGCTGTAAGAGGAATAAATTTAAAAGTATAAAATGGATGGATCCAGGGTATTCTGGAATGAAAAAGTAATATTTTGCTCATTTTAATTCTAATGAATATTCAGACTGTGTATTTCTTAGTCATACTATTATTTCTTCCGAAGAGGTGAAAGAAATTCTATTTTATTTATAAAAATATACCCTGTTTATTTCATAAAAATCTTCACTGTATGCAAGTTTTAAAAAGATAGTTAATAATGTAAGGATCTGTGAATAAATAATAAGTACTTACTGATAGTCTGATTTACATAAGAATAAGATTTAACAATATCTAGCTGTCCTCTTCTGTTGTATAATTCCCCTCCACAGAATGGTATAATTCCTCTTACCAGATGGAAAGACTCGTAAAAATATACTGGGTTATGAGTCAAATTCACCATTCTGTTGATATCACTGCAGCTTTATTTGCTGATAGCAGAGTAAATCTGTTACCATTGTTTCCTCTCAGAGCTCCGCTTTCTGGTAGGGGAAAAATTGACAGT